ATAGTATTAGAACATGATAGAATATGAGAAGTCTTGCAGATACAGAGGCCACTTTAACTCTACTCAGACTACACTGTACAGGTCTTGGTGCATACTCAGTGGTAGAGCACTTGGTTTGTATGTGTAAAGCCCTGGTTTAATCCCCAGCGCTGCCAGACAGCATAAACGTGTTAACCATAAAAGAAAGAAAATTAGGGAATTTCTCTAAAACCAGTGGTTAAAAAACTTTGTAAGGGGCCAGAGCAGTAGTACAGCAGGTAGGTAGGGTGCTTGCCTTGCATGCGGACAACCTGGGTTCAGTCCTGGGCATCCCACATGGTCCTCTTTCTGAGCCTGCCAGGAGTGATTCCTGAGTGCAGAGCCAGGAGTAAACCCTGAGCACAGCCGAGTGTAGCCCCAAATAAAAACAAAAGATTTATAAAAACTAAGAGTCTGTGAAAGAAACATATAATCTGGATAATTTAGGTATACCCTTCCTCAAAAGTAATTTACTGAAATGCAGTAATTGATAAATAGATCTCCTATGTCTTAAAAGTAGTGGGGAAATATATTTTGGGAGAGTTTCTTTTAGCCATTTTATGGCTGGGGGTGTAGCCCAACAGTAGAGCTTTGAACATATGTGAGACTCTGGGTTCTATCTAGGTACTGCAAAACAAAAATGCTTACTATATTCATGTAGTTTTTAATTTGTACAAGCCTGGGACTATTATTTGGCATAGAATTTGCCTTGCAAGGACTGGAGCAGTAGTACAGTGGGTAGGGTGCTTCTCTTGTGCATGGCAAACCCTGGTTCAGTCCCCCAACACACCATGTAGTTTCCCAAGCCCACTAGGGTTGTTCTGAGCGCCTCTGGATATTGCCAGATAAACAGAGAATTTGCCTAGCCATGATAACTTGAATAGTTTGCAGTGTGATGTTTATATTAGTTTATATACTTATATGAATATTAAGTACTAGTTATATTAAAAGACTGTGGGGGGGGCAGAGTATGGGGATTAAAATGTGCCTTGTATTAGTCAACCCAGCATCACACATGATCTCAGTAAATAAAAGACTGAGATGGAAAGATGGGCTGAATACCTGTATGCTTTACATTCTAGCAGCCCAGGTTGAATCCTTTGCACTGTATCCTGAACACACACACACACACACACACATACACACACAGGTGTAGATCCTGAGCATCACCAGATGTGGCACAAAAAATACAATGCTGATAGCCGCTGTGGAATTGGTCATCTTTTGCACTGTGTGCATATATTTAGTAACACTTTTCTCCGTGACTGTTTACAGAGTATATTATGCAGTTGTTTATTAACAGGGGAAAAGTCCGTTGGTTCCCTGGACCAATGTCTGAACCCTTTTCAGACCATGGCCTTCTTCTGATCTATATGCTGAGCCCCACATTGACTCGATTTTACCTCTGTCTTTTCCCTTGAAATAATTCTGGGGATCCACAGGGGCGTTTGTGTAACCCCAGGTTGAGAAATGCTGCCTTAGACTACTTTAAGTACTTAGTATTTTTCTTAGTATGTATTGATTGCTCCATTCTTTTTATTTTTGGTGTGTCTTTGAGTTACCACCATAGATACTTTGATTATAAAGAATAATTAACGGAATAGACACTGCTTCTGGCTTATAATAAACATGATAGAGGTCAATTCCAATTAGAATTTTTGTTGGAATTCATGATATTCTTTCATTGAGCTGTTGGTCTTACCCATTTCAACTGTGCAGCATATTTTTAATGGTGGTTGTATCCAGAGATGCAGATTGCTTAGTAATTTGTGGGATGTCTTGATTGAACGGCTTTAAAAGTAGGTTAAGTGTAGTCTTGGCCAAAACCACCCCTTCTCATTATTTATTTTTGTTTGCATTTTCATTTTATTTTTCAAAATCTGTATAATTTTGTTGAAATTCAAGTTTTCAACATGAAAGCAAGTTAAAGATACGAAAGGACAATCTAGCATTTGTTAATCTGGGTTTTTATAGTAGCCTCATTTTTAATGCACTTTAGGGGAAATGACTTTTTGAAGCCAGCTTTTGTGAATTAAGTCACTTTACAATGGCAAATATTTTGGGGTTTTTTGTGTGAGTATCTTCATGTAAGAATTTACTGGTTTGTAGTTCTATCTTTTGGTGGTGTTTACTGACAATAATGTTTTTAGAAAGTCTTGAGTATTTTGGAAATTTGAAAAAAAGAATTTTGTAGCTTGACGATAGAGAGGGAATTAAGAAGACTGACTTAACCTTGAATTCTTCCATGAAGATAATGATTGTTGCAGAGATTCAGGTTTCCTTGGTATCAGAATATAAGGGTAGGTATAAAGGAGGTTAGTAATTTATAACTCCTTGGTTAACAGAGCAAGCCTTATTTTCAAGCAGTATTTTGATGCCTTTAAAAAAGATATGCTGTCATATCTTAAGGCTTTGTTAACTAAAACCAGTATTATATCTAAAGAGATAATGTAACAAATGAGATAGTTATTACCATTAATTCCTGAAAAGAGGTCATTTTCAGCAACTATCAGGAAAATTTTGAAAATCAGAAATGCCTGTAACATTTTTATCATATATTTGAAACCAGGTAAACATTTGAGAATAGAATTCTATTGTGTCAGAACACAAAACCTCCTAAAATATGTGTGTTATAGTAATTGCTGTGATAGTATTCAGAGATACTGTTGTTCAGTAGTAGGCTAAGTGAATATTTTGACGAGAGATGTTTCTAGAAAGGAAAGTCGAAAGAGGGACAAGGGAGATACTCTTTAAAATTTAGTTAATGCTGGGATAGAGCAGTAGTACAGCGAGTAGGGTGTTTATCTTGCCAACCTGGGTTCAATCCCTGGTATCCCGTACGGTCCTCTGGCCTTGACTGCAGAGCCAGGAGTAAACCCAGAGCACAGTTGGGAGTAGCAAAAAAAATGTATTTTTAAACCTTGGTTAATGAGCCAGGCTGTGAGGCTGAACTTGTGAGCAGATTTGCTATATATTTAATTGACTGCGGTGCTTTTGATGTTGTAATGAATGAAAAAGCATAAATTCCTATGCCTTTTACAGGCATCTGTCCAGAAACTTTGAGTACCTGAAATGTGACCAAAGACTATTAAGAGCTGGAGAGATAGATAGCTCAACGATACAGTGGATACTTTACATGCCACGTTCAGTTCCTGGCACCTCATGATTCCAGGCACTGCTGGGAGCAACCCCCAAACATGGAGCCAGGTTTAGCCCCTTGAGCAGGAGCTGGGTGTGTATCTCTCCCCACTCCAAAGACAAAACAAAATCCTTAGTTTGCTAAATGGGGAGAGTAGGTATTGAAACAGAAATGCTAATTATTGCTTCAGTTTTGTTTTCATTTAAAAATTTTTTCTTGTAGCATTAGTATTGTTCTTATATCTTGACATTTAAATCTAAAGAAAAAGTTTTAAGGAAACATAGTCTCATGTAGATGAAAATTGTTGAGTTTGGTATGATGAAGGCTAGCAAAATCTTAAATGGACAGCAATCAAACAGTCCATTTTACTTTAGTCACAGGAGCCTCATATAACTCAAATTTTAAAAGACTTCTTAAAATCAGTTTTAAACTACTGGATTTGTAAAATAATTTATATCCAATTTTTTAGAAGCCGTTTTTTGATACAAGATATAGTTGCTGAATGATGTGCAAATATGCATAATTATATAATGCATAAAAACAAAACCGTCAAAAGTGAAGACTGTTACTTAGTACCTAATTTTAAAAATGCACAATTATCAAAATGCACGATAGAAATTTTGCAAGCCAAGTGGAAATATTAAAGAATTTATACTTGCTCTTTTCCCTTGCTTTTTTCCCCCCTCCCCCACCTCCCGTCCCAGTATTCTGGTCTATCTTCAGAAGTTCAATTTTCTGGTTAAGTCAATAGGGTGAGCAAATAAAGAAGTCAGATTGGATAAGATGTTAGTAATTTTACTGTCATTTTTATTTTGACTCCCAGCATGTGTTCTGTAATATGTGAGTTTAGGTGTGTACAGATATTTCAGCATAAGATGCTTTGAATCTTCAGGTTATGAATTAGTAAAAACAGTTTATAAACGGGGAATTACAGTTTACGTAGATTTACACTTGGATCAAGTATTGATAATAAAATTGTTCACATTTTAGAAATTAGAATAAACATGAAAGGGGAGGAGGGATAAAGAGTATGGTAAAAGTTTTTAGAGAAATTCACTGAATTCTTTAACTGCTAGAAACTAGACTGAACAATTTGAAAGATTATAAAATTGTTTTTTATTTTTTATTTTTTAAATAAACTAGTTATTTGCACTTTACCTGCTGGTTTTTCCATTTGGTAGATAACATTCTGAACTCCAGCAGAGTTTTATAATCCCCACGTGCTTAAATATACTAAATGTTCTTTTTCCATTAAGGTTAATGGTCGTGAAGAAATTGAAGAGTTTTTTCCAAGAATGTGGAAGATAAATCAAGATAAAAGAAGGCTAATGAAAAGTATTAAAGATCAGAAAATTAAAATTGAATGGGGGAAAAAATTGAACAGAAGATTGGTCAGATAGAAGCACTTGAATATTTTTAAGGCTATTTTCAATTGTTTGAATTGGGGAAGAATACACGAAGTATGAAAAATGAAAAAATGAAGAATGAAGAGAAGTAGAAAGCAAGAGTGAAGTAGAATTAAAAGAATCTGGAAGAATGAATGGGTCCTAGGTTAAGTAAATGTATGGTTTATGTTCCAGTGTCTGTATGATCAAGTTGTAGATGAATTTGCATGATTACTTAGTTAATAGAGAATTGGTGATCTGGTTCAAGTAGGGAATTATTGAGGACAGTTAGCAGTATTAACAATGGGTTATTAATGAGCTGAAATTTTTTCTGGAGGGTATTGCCTAACCATTTGTTTTTCAGGAGCAATCAATATAAATAATTACGGTACTTTAAATGTTAGGTGTTAGGCATCTACATGACCAGTGCCATTTGTTAATACTGTCTTCTTTGTTAGGAGTCTCGCTCTCAGTCAAAATCTCCAACTGGAACACCTGCTCGTGTAAAATCGGAGAGCAGGTCAGGATCTCGTAGTCCTTCGAGGGTTTCCAAACACTCTGAATCCCATTCTCGATCAAGATCAAAATCCAGGTGAGTTTAAAATAAAACATGAGGGACCAGAGAGGTCTGGAGTGCATGCTTGGCATACCAGAACCCTATTCAGTTTCTGGCATGGATGGTCCCAAGAAGTTGGTCAGACCCTGACTACTAAGCACCAAGCCAGGAGTAGCCCCCAGGACTGGTTAGTTTGGGCCAAAGCCAAAAATGATAATAAAATACAGACTGCTTTCCTTGATCCTTTGAGGAAAACACATTTTTGTTGTATATTTTTGTTTGTTGGGGAGAAAATGGGAAGGAATAGAGGTTTGGTGGGTGGGTCACGCCCTGTGGCACTCAGGGGACTGCACCTGGTTCTCTGCTCAGGAGACCAGACCATATGTGATGCAAGAATTGAACTGGAATCAACCACATGCAAAGCAGATTCCTTTCCCCTTGTATCGGTCTCTGTCCTTGAGAAGAATTTTTTTCAGATCTCTTTTATTTCTACTTTTTGTAGAAATTTTCTCTTAAGACTGGAACATCATGAAATTAAAGACCAGAGAAGTTGCTCAGACCTAGATAGAGCACAAGCCTTGCAGAAAAGGGGTTCCAAGATTTGAAACCAAGAACTCACACATGTGGTATTTACACTTAAGTTTTTGTTTCAGGGCCACACTTGGTATTGCTTGGGAACTGTATGCAGTGCCAGGTATCAAACCCAGGTCAGCTGTGTGCAAGAGAAATGCCATACCTCCTGTATTGTCTTTCCAGATTCCCCCCCCTTTTTGGGGGAGGGGGAGTCACACCTGGAAATTCTCAGGGGTTTTCCTGGCTCTGCAATCAGGAATAACTCTTGATGGTGCTCAAGGGACTGTATGTGCTTTGCATGTGTGGTAGTGTTTTGACATCTCTCCTCATTCCTTCAGTGGCATTCAATACAGTCACATTGCTATGCAACCATGTAACACTGTTCATTGTCTGGAGTATAGCTTTAGTGGTAGAATTTGAGTTTTAAGTTCACCCTGAGTTCAGTCCCAGCACCAAATGCTACCCCAAAGAATAGCTGGAGTTCTGTTGTGTTGTGTTTTGTTTTGTTTTTTTTTCTAAGCCCCCTCTCGGAGAGCCCGGCAAGCTAACAAGAGTATCTCACCTGCACGGTAAAGCCTGGCAAGCTACCCGTGACATATTTGATATGCCAAACACAATAACAACAAGTCTCACAATGGAGATGTTACCGGACCCACTCAAGCAAATCGATGAACAACGGGCAACAGTGCTACAGTGCAGTGCTTTTTCTAAGCCCATGTTCTATCTTAATCACCTGTTTCTCTTCCTTTCTTCAGGTTTTTCCACTCTGGAAAATACTTCTCACTTGAAAAATCACTCTGTTGTTCTGTCTCTCCCCTTCCCTCTTTTTTCCTCCCTCCCCCTTTCCCCAATTTCCTTTAATAAAACTATTTTGCTTCACAAAAAATAAGGAGAGAGTGGGTCCTATTTTAAAGTATTAGGCTGTAGGATGTCACTCAGTGGTAGTACATTCATCTTGCATGTGTGAGTCCTTGGGTTAGATTACTAGCACTGCAAAAATGATTTTTATTTATTTTTTTGCCAACAGATAGTACTAGAAGGTAAAAGGAGATAAGACTTTTGTTCCATTCCTGGCACCATATATGGTTTCCTTTACTCTGCCAGGGATTGCTCCTAAGCATTGCCAAGTGTAACCTGAAATCCGTGTGTGTGTGTGTGTGTGTGTGTGTGTGTGTGTGTGTGTGTATGTGTTTCTTAATTATAAAGAGGGGCCTTATAGATAGCTCATTATGCTAAGTGCTTTGCATACTGGCAACTAGGTTCAACCCTTAACAGCAGTTTTTTCCCTGAGGAACATCTGAACTGGTCCCGAGCACTGTTGAGTGTAACCCAGAAGTGGGAAAATAATAATAAAAATTTCTATCTAGTGGGTGATGTACGTACCCTACATGCAGCCAACCCAGGTTTGATCACTGGCACTGCAAAGAATTTCTCAAGACCCCATCAGAAGTAAACCCTGAGCACACTGGTGTGGCCTATAAAACAAAATAACTTCTGTACATATTAATAGCAACACATGCTAACCAGCACCTAACTACTAGTTAGATTCATTCTGCTTTGCCTGTGATTTTTGACTTTAAGTAACTTGTGTAAATGAAATATGCAGTTTTTATCTCTTTTATGTGTGTCTGGCCTATTTCACATGTATAACGACTTCATGGTTCATTGACGTCAAAATATTGGGGAATTCCTTTCTCTAGTAGTTGCTGGAATTGTTTTGGTGCCACGCCTGGCTATTCATGACTTCCTATCTCTCCAGCTGCTGTTTTTTTTTTTTTCTTTTGAGGGAGGTTGTCATTGTGTGATAAGAACTTGCATCACTACATGGTAAGTGAAAACTGGATGGTAGGGGACTGGAGAGATACAGTACACCAGGTAGTGCACTTGCCTTGCACGCTGTTGACTCTAGGTCAATTTTTGGCACCCCGTAATTTAAAAAACCCAAATTTTGAAAGGATAGCTTGCTAACAAGAAGCAGTTAAGCGAAAAAATATGATGGAATTTTCTCAGAAGGAGTTTGAGAATGTGCAAGGGCATTTATGTATAGGTCTTTGGCATTAGCGAGTTTGCTGCAGTATCTTTACCAAATTTCTTTCTCTTAAAGGTCAAGGTCAAGGAGGCATTCTCATAGACGTTACACTCGATCCAGATCTCATTCTCACTCTCATAGAAGACGATCTCGAAGTAGGTCATATACACCAGAATACCGGCGTCGAAGGAGCCGAAGTCATTCTCCAATGTCTAACCGGAGGAGACATACAGGCAGCAGGGTACATGTTTTTTAAAGGTTAATGAAAGGGGCCAGCAATGTGACTCAGTGTAGAGGACTTGTCTTCCTTGTCCTCAGTTCCCCCATCCTCAAGTCAGTGTTAACTTTCTTCTTTTCTGTGTGATTGCATGATCATTTCTTTTATAAGAATTAGGCTATTATATACAAGTGGTACTTTGTATACAATATACTGAATATATATTGTACTATATATATAATATATTGTATATAAAGTATATTATATATAAGTGGTAATTTGCATGTAATACATAAATTTCTTTTGATATTGAAGTGAAATTTAAGACCCATCAAAATAGGAGCTGGAGTGATAGGACAGCAGGTAGGGCATTTGCAAGGCCGAACCGACCTGGATTTGATTCCCACAACCCCATATGGTCCCTTGAGACCACCAGGAATTGAACCCTAAGTGCAGAGTAAGTCCTGAGCACTGCTGGGTGTGGCCTCAAAACAAAATACTATCAAGATAGATATTACCAGGTGATTTGTAGCAAGGAAAATACCAAAGTCTCTAGTAACAGGACCCAGGGGGTGGCTTAGTGGCAGGAAGAGCCTACCATGCAAGAATGGGGTTGAAAGTTAGATCACCTTGTGTCAGTCATGGTCCAGGTTACAGTATGGTCGCTGGTGTGTTCCAGTTCTATGCTAGCACCACAACTCAGTGCAGTCTTCAAAAAGCACCACAGCTAAGCCTTTGTTTCACAGTCCCTGGTGATTGGAACAATAGCAGTGAAGGGATGTAGGCAGACATAACAATAACCTTAATACCCAATACATTAAGCATTGTGCAGAGGTTTTTTTAAATTTATTTGAAGAACTGTGATTCACAAAGTTGATGAGTTTTAAGTATTTCCACACCAGTCCCACCACCAGTGTTCCCATACCTTTTTTTTTTTTTTTTGACATTTTGGGTGATACCCAGTGATGCTCTGAGGTTTACTCCTGGCATTGCATGGGGGACTATATGGGGTGCCAGGGATCGAACTGAACCCCATTTGACTGCAGAACCCCAGTTGGCTGCATGCAAGGCAAACGCCCTACCCACTGGCTATTGCTACAGCTCCCCAACCTGCCACCTTGACATGCACATAGCAAGGTGCTGTGCTTGCAGTTTAGATCTCATATTTCCAGTGTTGTTGATTCTGTGCTTTGGATACATAGCTATACCACCACTCTCCTGCATCACCAGTATAATTGAAGCCCCAACCCCTGTTCCCTCATTACTTTCCTTTCTCATCTTTTTCCTTCCCCCCTTGATTTCTTCTTCCTAAACTTGGGGGTCAAAGGTGATCTTTGCATTTCTACTTTAGTACTGTTTAATGTTATAAGATGTTTTGTGAAGAGATGTAGCTCAAGTGGCATATTTGTCTCGCATGTGCAGAGCCCTACATTTGATCTCTGGCATTGCATGCCCCACCTCTGCCCACCACAACCACCCCAGCACCTCTGGAGGTGACCCCCTTAACAACTCTTAGTAGATATATGATACTGAGGGTGTTTTGGTTTATTTTTGGTTTGGGGGTCTTATCTGACAGTCCTCAAGTGGTGCCAGAGATCAAATGCAAGACGCTAGCAGGCAAACAAATCATGTGCTCCAGCCCTGGTTTTATTTTTTTGTTTTGAACCAGCAATATATAATATATTCCAGAATTCAACCAAACTAGTTGGCTTTCTGTGCTTAACATTCCTGTGTTTAACTGCTTTGCTGTTTTTTTCTCCCCTGTGACACTAGATCATATAACTGTAATAGAGTCTCGTATTACTTAATGATGTTTTGAATGCTACATTTGTTTTTTCAAATCTGAATTGTGGGAATGTTGAGAGAATATTAAATAATACAGTGAATAAGGCACTTGCTTTGCATGTGAGCAACATGGCTTTCGTTTCTGGCATCACATATTGTCTCCTATCACTCAGCAGGAGTGAGTGATTCCTGAACTCTGAGCCAGGAGTACAGCCAGGTGTGGCGCAAAACAAGCAAAAGAATGAAAATATAGAAAGAAAGTATAATCAGTAAATACAGGATCAAATAAATTACAAATTTATAAGGAACTTGAGACATTTGAAAAACTTGAAATATGGTGTTAAACTAAGAATCAAATTCTTAAGATATTCTGAGAATTGTAGGGCTAGAATTAGATATATTTTTATTTAGGCTATAAACTGAAGATTTGTTTTTTTTTAAGAGTGTGTTCATGGAACCTGACTCTTCAGTGAAACTTTAAAATTAAAATTACATGTATGTGGCTTACATGAATTTTGTCCTCTTAAATATTTTCAAGTGACTTGATCATATGTGCTTTCTGTATGAGTGAAGTACCCTAAGCAAGGTAGTTTTGTGTTTTCAGTTTTTATTTTCAGTTTTTTAAAAATTCTTTAACACTCATTTTAACAGGCAAATCCAGATCCTAACACCTGTCTTGGAGTGTTTGGCCTCAGTTTATATACCACAGAGAGAGACCTTCGGGAAGTGTTTTCTCGATATGGACCATTGAGTGGGGTCAATGTGGTTTATGATCAGCGAACTGGACGGTCACGAGGATTTGCTTTTGTTTATTTTGAGAGGATTGATGACTCAAAGGAGGTAATTTTGTTTTTATAGCTATCATTCTGAAGTTTTTCTAATATACTTGATACTAACTGTTACAAGTTAATAAGACTGCAGAGATTTATAGAAGATATGGTATTTACCTTGTGGTTGTGATTTTAGGGTGTGTGTGTGTGTGTTTTTGGTTTTTGGGTCACACCCAGCAGTGCCCAGGGTTTACACCTGGCTCTGCATATGATATCTGGAATTGATCTTGGCAGTGCTTGGGGGACCATATGGATTGCCAGGAGTCGAATCCAGGTTAGCTGTGTGCAAGGAAAATGCACCATATGTACTGTATATCGGCTCTGGCCCCAAGGTATCACTAGGATTGGCCCAAAAACAAAAAAAAATAGGAGAATGTGGGACCAGAGTGATAATACAGCAGGTAGAGGCGCTTATCTTGGTGCAGCTGACCTGGGTTCAATCTCCAGTACCCATTATGGTCCCCTAAACCTGCCAAGAGTTATCCCTGAGCACTGCCGGGTATGGCCCAAACCCATACCCATCCCCACCTCCAATATAAGAATATACTGTGTTGGAGGCTGGAGTGATAGTACAGCAGGGAGGACGTTTACTTTGCAATCAGCAGACCTGGGTTTGATTCCCAGCATCCCATATGGTCCCCTGAGCACCACCAGAAGTAATTTCCTGAATGCAAAGCTAGGAGTAAGCCCTGCATCGTCGAGTGTGACCCAAAAGCAAAATATATTTATTTTATATATGTATGCGTGTGTGTGTGTGTGTGTGTGTACACACATACATACATACTGTGTTTTGTTTTGTTTTTTAATTGTAGCATTTTTATATTTGTTGTTTTGTCTGAAGGAGGCACACCCAACAGTGCCTAGGGCATGCATATTTCTGGCTCTATACTCAGGGATTACTCTAAAGAATTTGAAATTTATTGAAATATTGTCAGGCCTTAATTGCAAGTACTGATATTTTTTTCTTGTACCCTTCCGCAACCAATAGCTGGAGATCTGGACCATAGTGGTGATCAAGGGATATTCCTGGTTCTTTACCCAGAAGTGATCCCTGTCAGTGCTTGGGGCATAAGTGATACCAGAAATTTTTATCAGGGTGGGTTGAACATCTTTACTATCTCTCCAGCCTATTTTGGGGTACCATTTTACATGTGATAGCAGTTGAATCAAGGTTTTTACTGCTTTATACATCACTTGTGCTTGAATGTAATATAGGCAGTCATAACAGAAATTGCATATCTTTGAAAAATAATATTACAGATCTTGTGGGTAGAGGAAGGAAATAGAATTAGCCAGTTGCAAAGTAGTGCTGACGTCAAAATCACCCAGATGATTCTAACAGAAATATTTTGGGTTGTAAATAATTTAATTATGTAATACTCTAATACTATTTTAATTTGTCAGTAATATCCTATAGGTAGTAATACCTCCACTATAGGTAAAGATATACATATACATACGTGTGTGTGTGTGTGTGTAAGACACCTGATAGGAACCAGTGCTTTCTGTGCACACAACTGACCCCAGTTCCATCTTCAACATCACATATGTTTCATCAGGCACTTCAAGAGTAAGCCCTAAACACAGCTCAAAACCAAAAGAAATAAAATGCAAATAATAACAAAATATTTTCTTTCTTTAACAAAATACTCTTAATGTGAAATGTGTTTGTCCCATCTTAACTCTCCCCACCCTTGCCGATTTGTTTTTGAAAAAAATTAAATGGTTACTTATTTCCATAGAACCTCTAGCAAATTTGTTACAGTTATTGCATCATTATTACTTTTATTGGGATGCTGTCACAGGAACGAGCTCAGTTTCTTTGCAGGTTAAAAGTTCCTTTATATTTATACCTCGCTAGGTGGCAGTGTGTTACCTAAGGAATGGTTTGAGTATAGACTTGACTGATGAATAAATTGACTGTCTCCTATAGTTTATATTGAAAATGTCTGTCAGTTACAGAATTAACTCAGCTTTTCTTCGTTTCATTTGTGTGGTTCCTTCTTTATAGTTAATGCTGCTCCTAGTCTTTTAAGCATTTGTTAAGAAAAACAATGCTATTGACAGACACAAAAAGGTTTACTATGTTGAAATCCTAGCCTATACTGTTTGAGGAAGAAGTATTTGGAAAATTTAAGTTGGGATTCTCATTTCAAGTGTTAATAGGTTTGCTGGACTTCTCATGGTTCTCATTACTAGTATCTCTACAGAGAATGACTTGCTGTGTCTTTTTCCTTTATAGGCTATGGAAAGGGCAAATGGAATGGAGCTAGATGGCAGAAGAATTCGTGTTGATTATTCTATCACCAAAAGAGCGCACACACCTACACCAGGCATTTACATGGGCAGACCAACTCAGTAAGAATTTGCTTTTTTCACTTTTTTTCCAAATTATTATGAGAAGATTTCACATAGCCTAAACAAAACTGTCAGACTGAAATCAACGAGAAATGTGTACAAAGTTTTCTTTAAGCAGTTCTGGAGAGATCAATACAAGGGGCTAAAGTACTTACCCAGTTTGATTTTCAACATAATACATGGTCCTCAATCACTGCCGAGAGTGAGGAACACCTGAGCACCATCCAGGTGTGTCCCAAAACAAAGTTTTTGTTTAAAGTTTGAGATGGAGTAGAGATACAGTTCTATGGCACGTAGAACACGTGCTTCACATATGAGATCACCTGGAGTTTGATTCCTAGCACCAGGGGGGAAAAATTTTTTTTCAAAGATACAATAAGGACTGAAGAAATAATGGACTACTGTCAAGTACATTCCTAGCTCTTGTTAATACTAGACAAGTAGAAACAAATTAAATACTTTTAAAATGCCATGTTTTTAAATATGTTCTCTAGAACTGGGGAGCTAACTGAAAAGAGCTAGAGCACATGGATTTGCTAAGCCCTAGATCCCCAAGTTTGATCCCAGTTTCTCAAGTTTTGGCCTAAAAATGAGTTCTCTTATATTCTTATGCAACCTTAAAAGCTTTTGTACTACTGGGGCTGGAGCAATAGCACAGCAGGTAGGGCGTTTTCCTTGCACGCGGCCAACCCGGGTTCGATTCCCAGCATCCCATATGGTCCCTGAGCACCGCCAGGGGTAATTCCTGAGTGCAGAGCCAGGAGTAACCCCTGTGCAGAGCCAGGTATGACCCCAAAAAAGCAAAAAAAAAAAAAAAAAAGCTTTTGTACTACTGATAAAGAGAAGTGGTCATTCTGAACCAGGACTTTTGTATTTAGGTAAGATTTAACTGATACTGATGTTTTGGGGGTGAGGGGTAGAAGAGAGTGGCCAGTTTCACATGGTGTAAAACTGTTAACCAAGTAGATTCATAATACCTTGAGGCGGGTGCGCTGGACCAATCCAGTGGGGCAGTAGTAACCCTAGGGTACAAGTAGATGGGGCACTTTGTTTTCAAGAGGTCGATTTTTGAATGATTTTCCCCCCACCCTGAAAAGATGGTAAGTTGGAAACTGCTGGTGGGGAATGTAGATGGGGATATCTTGATATTCTTAAATACAAATAAAACTAAAGACGTGTGTGTGTGTGTGTGTGTGTGTGTGTGTGTGTGTGTGTGTGTAGTGTAAGAAATAAAGGCTTTTCATTTAATTTAAACTCTTAACTGGGGAAAACAGGATATTTATCATTATAGAAAATTTTAAAGTGAAATGGGGCTGCTGTTAGTAGTTGAAAAGACAGCAGGAAAAAGCACTCAAGAGATAGTACAATGGACAGGATCTAATTGCCAAATGTTTAAATATAAACATTGACTTTAGTTTTGGCTTTTGGGCCACACCTGTCTCTCCAGCTCTCAATAACGTTATTTTCATCCTAGACCGCAATGTTAAATATTCAGGGTAGGTTTCTTCTAATTCTAAGTACTGTATTGTCATAAATGATGACTGACAAATACGGTAATAAAACATTTTTTGTGTTTTTTGGTAGTAGTGGTGGTGGAGGTGGTGGAGGCGGCGGTGGAGGTGGAGGAGGTGGCAGGCGTCGAGATTCATACTATGATAGAGGATATGATCGTGGATATGACAGATACGAAGATTATGACTACCGGTACAGGTACTGTTCTAGTTTGTTGTTTCTGCTCTAAATTTGGTGTACCAGGAGGATTACTCCATAGCTTAGAGGTCAGCCGGGCATTCTAGGGGAAAGGGCAGCTCAGAGAAGGGAGCACCAAATAAAGTGTGTTTGGAGGATCCTCCCAGGAGGGGAGATGCATGTTGAAAGTAGACTATGGACTGAACATGTTTGCCACTCATTGCCTCTTTTGCAGACCACAGCATCCAGGGGGAGAGAGAGAACAGAAGGGAATACCCTTCCACAGAGGCAGGGTGGGATGGGGGGGGGGTGAGAGGGATATTATCCATGGTGGTGGAAAATGGGCACAGATGGAGGGATGGGTATTTGATCATTATATAATAGAAACCCAAGCACAAAAAATTGTAAATCTACAACTGTACCTCATGGTGTTTCACTAATAAAAAATAAAAATAATAATAATAAAAGCTCCCACAAACATAAAATGTAAAAAAATAATAATAAGTTTGGTGATAATGTATAATTGAGCATTTTAGTGTTTGGTATTTATTTATCAAAGTACTTGGAAGATTTTTATATAATTTCTTGAAAAAGACTGCAATCCTTAAGACTGAGAATGGAGGTTAATACCTGACAGTATTTTGCTCTCTAGTTGCTTTATATATGTTAATGTCTTGTGTAAATTTCCCCCCTTCCCATTCTTGTTTCTGTATCTGTGCTCATACTGTATGTATGCACACTAGGAAGCAGCTCACTACAGGTCACACTTCCTATATTGAGAATTATACTGGATATATTGTGGGATAGGCTGGGAGGTGGAACTCATGGCCTTGTACATGTCAGACTGTAGCACTGAGCCAATTTCTTGGGCTACTAGTGCATTAATTTTTTAAAATTTTTTATTATTTATTTTTGCTTTTTGGATTACGCCTGGAGTTGCACAGGGGTTACTTTTGGCTCATGCAATCAGGAGTTACTCCTGGCAGTGCTCAGGGGAATCCATATAGGATGCTGGAAATCAAACCAGGGTCAGCCGTGTAGAAGGCAAACACCCTACCCACTACCCATTGTGCTATCACTTCAGCGCCTGGTGCATTAATTTTTTGATAGAAACTTTCATCTGCGTCATGAAGAGACTAAGTAATCTCTTCTTTCTTACAGAAGAAGATCACCTTCTCCTTATTATAGTCGATACAGATCACGGTCCAGATCTCGTTCCTACAGCCCAAGTAGGTATACTTTTATAAATAACATTTTTAGAAAATTGGCTTAAGGTAACTGCTGATAGTTGATGAATTAATAGACAAGTCAAATTATGTTTGCCTTTTTAACTCTTTCTTGCTTTCTCTTTCAGGACGCTATTGACAAACAGAATGGTTGCAGTTGAGGACATCCTTTTTTCTCTTGATTTTCTTTTAATTCTGGATTTCCCCAAGCTTTTAATCTTTCCTGTTCCTCAAAAAAGAACCCTTGGAAAAAATCTTTGGTTTATTTAGCATCTACACTTTATCTGTTGTATTGGTGTTTCCATCCCTTTTATTATACTCTGAAAGATGTAATTGTTATCATTTTTGAGTAGTTAAACATCTCGAGTAAAAAGGAACTCCTAGTGTTATGCTTTGTAAATGATTTTTTCTTTGCTTTTTCAGAAAATTAACTCCTGGCTAATCAGATGAAGAAAGAAATGATCTTTTTAAAGCTTCTGTTACATTAAATATTGTATTAGACATTGTATTAGAGATACGCATTTAAGAACTCCTTTTTTAACTTTCTTTTGAGAAAGATAGTAACACATAAAGTAGTTCAGTCATGTCAACTTTGTCTGGAGTGGTATAGAGCAGTCAGATAGTTGAGTATAGAAAATTTGAAGCTATAGAAGAAAATACTTCATTTCTTTTGACAAATGGAATTTTGTAGTCCTACAAATTAAGTTTTTATTTTGTTTTGTTTTTGTAGAGACGAAAAGCGTGTGGGCTCCTACAAACATTTTGTATTTAAAATACATCTGTTGAAACTTACAAACTTAAAGTGTGATTTTTGTGTTGGCTTTCTTGAAGTTTTAAGTGTTCCTTTAATCAGTGAAGAACAACCCTTATTTATTACCTAGCATAATTATATACTTTACTGTTTGAGATTTTGGTTTGGGGACAATGGTTTAAGCAGGCTGTTGTATAGTATGAATCTTTAGACGTGTGTATGGGGCAAGTAGTCTCTTTTCAAATAAAGTTAATTTCTTTGAAAATGGAACCGTCTCTTTATTGTGATGGTGGCTTGATTAGGGATACTAGTCCATGCTTCATTAATATATTCCTTATCTTTGTCCCCAGTCTTTCTTTTTCTTTCCTTCTGCCTCTCTGTTGACCAAGTTGTAAATACTGTCTGTTCAGTACCAACCATATGTTAAAGGAAAGAAATAATGGTATTTGTCTTCCTGATTTGTACTTTCATGCTGGAACAATAATATAGTAGGTAGCATGCAGGAGGCACTTACTTGCTTTGCACGTAGCACAGCTGCTTCTGGCCCCAAGACCAACAACAAAAATCCTTGTAACTTTACATCCTAGTATAAAACAATTTTACATTCTAGTATAAAACAACTTCTCAACTATGTTGCCATGGTTTGGGGACAATGGTTGGGGACAGTAGAAACTTAAAAGAATTTTTATTAATTTTGGTTAATGATGCTTCGGGCTTACTGACTGTTCAGGGTTTCAACTATAGTATCAGAAGCTCCTTGATTTTTCTCCTCACCACGGTGGGAATAAAAGTATATCATTGAGGGGGCTGGAGCAATAGCTCAGCAGGTAGGGCGTTTGCGTTGCACGCAGCCGACCCAGGTTCGATTCCCAGCATCCCATATGGTCCCCCGAGCACTGCCAGGAGTAATTCCTGAGTGCAGAGCCAGAAATAACCCCTGTGCATCGCTGGGTGTGACCCAAAAAGTAAAAAGAAAAGTATATCGAAATTTTATGTTATTGAAGTGCCTCATAAGCTAACTTTTCGGCCTCAGATGTGGCTCAAATGCTACAGCACTTTTTTGCTTTGTTTGGGGGCTACACCCAGCTTTGCTCAAAGCTTACTCCTAGCTCTATGCTCAGGAATAACTCCTGGCTGGCACAGGGAACCATGTGAGGTGTCAAGGATGGAACCCAGGTTGACCATGTGCAAGGCAAATGCCCTACCTGCTAAGACTATCTTTCCAGCCCCCCAAATGGTAGAGCCCTTGCCTTGCATGCAGCTAACCCTAGTTACATCCCCAGCACCACATTGTCTCCCAAGCATCTGAGTGGGGCCATGGAGGCCCCCATGTACCATTTAAGAAGTCAAAGACGAAAACAGTCCTGGGACACTCTTGACTCTATTCTGGAACTTAGAATAAAAATCTAAGGAGAATACGCAATGACAGTATGAGAAAAAGGTATAAGTGAGTTTCTTGGTTTAAGAAATCTGACCCAATTATGATTCAAAATCAGGCTCAAAAGACTGAAATAAAGCTCAACTATCTGCACCCATATTAACAACCAAAAGAGAAGGAGGTGGGGCTAGGGAGTGAATGTGGATGCGTCTTGATGTATATGTGATATAATCCTGCAAAATCTTAAATGAGAAAGGTCATAGTACCTGGTGAAAGGTACTTGCCCTGAATGTGCCAATTCTGGTTCAATTACTAATACCTCATGTGGTTCCCTGAGCACATCAGGAATGATCCATAAGCACAGAGGCAGAAGTAATCCCTGAGCATGGCTGGATGCGTCACAAAAATGAAAACTAAAATAAGACAAATGAAACCTGCCTACATGACTTAAAAAAGTGCCAGCTTAGGACCAGAGATACATGCTTGGGGTGCTAGAGGCCTGGGTTTGATCCCCAACACTTCATGATTTCTGAGCACCAAGCGGGAGCCTCTGAGCACTGCAAAGTGTGACTCAGCACTAGGAGAATTGCCGGTGTGGCCCAGAAAATAGCATAAAAATTAACAAGTGTTCAAGGGATAGTTTAGTGGGCAGAGCATATGCTCTCTGTGCAGGCCTGGGTTCAATACTGGAGTGTTTCCCAAAGAACAGAGAACACTGCTGAGTATGATCATCCCCTAAACCAAAAATAAGGAAGGAGGGTCTGGAGAGATGGTATAGCTGGTAGGGCACTTGCTTTGCACAGTCTACCTGGATTTGATCCCTGGCACCCCACTTGGGTTTGCTGAGCTATGTCAGGATTAAGCCCTGAAGCCAGGTGTCCCCCCCCCCTCAAAAAAAAAAAAGTCGGGATGAAAAAGTGGAAAAGAATATAAGCACATTGATGTCTTGGTTTTGATCACTTCGATGGTGATGAGGTATGGTAACAATGCACTGTAGCACTGTCCTCCCCATTGCTCGAGTGCGCCCAGTAACATCTCCATTGTGAAACTTGTTACTGTGTTTGGTATATCGAATATGTCACGGGTAGTTTGCCAGGCTTTGCCGTACAGGCGAGATACTCTCGGTAGCTTGCCGGGCTCTCCGAGAGGGAATCAAACCCGGGTTGACCACATTCGCAGAAAATTATTGTAGCTATTTACCTAGTTGGCTGGAGCGATAGCACAGCGGTAGAGCGTTTGCCTTACAAGCGACCAAAATGGCCGACCCGAGTTCGATTCCTCCGCCCCTCTTGGAGAGCCCGGCAAGCTCCCCGTGACGTATTCGATATGCCAAACACAGTAACAACAAAGTCTCCAATGGAGACGTTACTGGGCCCGCTCGAGCAAATCGACGATCAACGGGAGGGCCTTTACCTTTACCTTTACCTTTATTTACCTAGTTAACTATAATAAATCAAGTTTAAAAAAAAAACACATAAGGGCTATAGCGAATACAGCATGTAAGGTGCTTGCTTTGCACATGCCCAACCTGAATTCAATCCCCAGCATCCCGTATGTCCCCCAAGCAATGCCAGGACTGATTCCTGAGTGTAGAGCCAGTATCCCCTGAACATTGCTGGGTATGGCCCAAAAACTAAAAAGAAGAAACTAACAAATGAATATTAATAAATATAAAAAGTTTCAGCCAGAGGGATAATACAATGGGCAGGGCACTTACCTTGCACATGGCCAACCTGGGTTCAAGCTCTGGGTTTAATCTATACTTAGGTTGAATGTGAGAGAAAATGCTACAGCGTACTTTAGACCAGAGAGTTAGTATAGAGGACAAGGCACGAAGAGGCCTGAGCCTCTTTGATTGCAAAGCAAGCCAAGTGCCTGAGCCACTTTGATTCATGGTACCACATACGGTCCCTGAGCACAGCCAGGTATGGGAACCAAACCCAACCCATCCTTCCCCCACCCACAGAAAAAAAAGATCAAACGTATTATATCACAGACTCCTAAAAGAAAGGAATATTTCGTTTTAGAAAAGGGTCACACCCAACAGTGCTGGGAATGTGGGTGGACTGGGTGGGCTGCAGTGTCTACACTCAGGACACTAAGCCGTGGGTGCGGAGGCACAGGCTTGATACAGTGCCTGAGCCTGGTGTTGCTGGGCCTCACCAGGGCCACATCAGAAAGTGCCAGGGATCACTAGGTCCATACCTGGCAGTGCTAGGAAGCCTTGTGCTCCCAGGCTTTGCACATGCCAAAGGTGGTTCACCCCTTGAGTCAAATCTTTGGCTCCAAAAGACATTTTTTTACAATGAAAAGAAATGACAGCCTCATTAACAATTGTAGCACTGTAGCACGGTCCTCCCATTGTTCATCGATTTGCTTGAATGGGCCCAGTAACGTCTCCATTGTGAGACTCATTTAAATGGAGGCTGGAGAGATAGCAGATAGCACAGCGGGTAGGGTGTTTGCCTTGCACGCAGCCGACCCGGGTTCGATTCCCAGCGTCCCATATGGTCCCCTGAGCACCACCAGGAGTAACTCCTGAGTGCAGAGCCAGGAGTAAGCCCTGTGCATCGCCAGGTGTGACCCAAAAAGCAATAAATAAATAAAGTCATAATGTGCCTCCTTTGTTTATGAGTATTTTTTTGTGGGGTCAGCACAGTATTGTACTTTAGGCAATATTTTGCCAAGCTGGCTAGCCTGGTAATTCAATGCTATGGACCATAAGTTTTAGCTGCTCTGGCTCTACAATTTATGGCACCACCAAGGGATCTTTCCAGGAATTCTTTAGGGGTCCCCAAGGCTTTAGCCAGTTTATGAATATCATTGCCAAAAGTGGTTAGCATGAATGTAAGTAAGAAAAAAATCTCACAAATTGGGAATTTAAGACATTCCATAAAACAGTCATCTGATTTAAGGGGAGGAGGGGTAGTTTGTTTTTTATTATTTTTTTATTCTTTTCTTTGGGTGTCACATCTGCGATGTTCAGGGGCCACTCCTAGCTCTGCACTCAGGAATGATTCACTCCTGGTGGTACTCAGGGGACCCTATGGGATGCCAGGGATTGAACCCAGGTTGGAAGCATGCAAGGCAAGCGCCATAACAGCTCTACTATCGCTCCTGTTTTTAGTCACGGTGGGGCTCAGGAGACCATATGTGGTGCTCCTAGCAGTGCTTGGGAGACCATATGTGATGCAGGGGAGCGAGTTGGCCACATGTAAGGCGAGTGCCTTAACCTCTTGTGATATCTCTACAAGCCTGATTTTTTGATTTTTGGTGTCACATCTAGTGGTCCTCAGAAAACCATGTAATTTCAAATCTGGGATCAAATCTGGGGCTCCATTATGCAAAGCAAGAATATGTGCAACTCTGAGTCATTCACTGTAGCAACATCAACAAAAGGAAGAGGCAAAAAAAAAAAAGAGAAAGAGAGGGGAGAGGCCCTGTTCTCAGGAACACTTCCACAGGACATGTGGTTTGAATCGCCTCTCCTGGGCTTGCTAGCATTTGGACTTTGATTTAATCAAATAAACTGCAAGTAGGTTTCATTATTTTGTGGGTGTTTTGTTTGTTTTTGAGCTATACCAGGGTGCTTAGGGGCAATTCCTGGCTCTGTGCTCAGTATTGATTTCTGGCAGTGCTCAGAGAACCATACATGGTGCCAGAGAGTGAACCAGGACTAGCAGTATGCAAGCCCTCCTAACCCCTTACCTCCTGTGCTATCCCTCTGACCCTGTTTTAGAATGTCTGACAGAGTAATCCTTTGGAAAACAAATTATGGTTCTTGTATTGCGAGAAAAAATGCAGCTAACGGCATTATATTCTACATTGTAAAATCTAATATTTCTAGCCGAAGGTTGTGTGTTCACGGGCTCTCTGGACGGCTTTCTCTCACTGCCCGCG